GTAGATATGTGGGGGCGTGTTAGAACGGGACGTTTTAGGTAAGTGTGGTTGACTCTTAACTTTTATAAAGAATATCTCGGCTCTTTGGATTTGAGACTAGTCTTTGCAACTTTACAGATCTTCTTTATGCACCAAGAGCTTGTAACACTTCAAAGAGAAAGGAAAAATTTAAATCACATCATATGACCCCTTTAAGCTTGGCGAACAGTTTTGAAGAAATTGTTGTTTCCCCATTCAAAGAGATAGGAGCTGCACTTGCATGCCCGAGAGGCGCTTTAAAGATGGCCGCCTAGTGACATGACCTTTCTTAAAGGGACTTTGGGAAAACCCTTCGATGAACAGCACTCCCTCATTTACAATAATCTGAATGAATCAACATTAACAAGGATATAAGATTATATTTATGTGTCTACTCACCTGCGGAAATTTTGCAGGATAACTTTTCTGCGTACATGAACACGCAAATTATACAAAATTAGTGAATGCGGTCCATTATTATTTTAACCTTTAGATTCCTTTTGGTTTGATTTGATTCATAAACTTATGACTCTATTGAATCAGATCTTTTAATGAATCGGTCGATATGACCCAAGTTGTCAGTTTGAATGAATCTAACAAGTGAAATATTAAAACCTCTAAATCTGACAGAGCTTTTCAACATGATCATGTGACTTAATTAATGAAATAAGCCAATAATATGTTTACGGCCTGGTTCGTGTTAATATGATCCATGACTGGGTGCAAACATAACATGTAGTTAGACTACAACATTTGAACACACACACACACACACACACACACACATATAAGGTTTTCCTTACCCATTAACGGTTTATAATAGTATTAAAGTAACGAATTACAGAGGGATGGGATATATCTCTATCTCAGTTTCAGTACTCTGCTATTGGAGCCTGTTGTCAAAAAAGGTAAACATGTTTTAAATGAACTGCATCTCTGCAATAATTGACGAAATATTCAATAGCTGGGTTATAGTCAAGACTCATATTTAATATAACAAAAATAATGTAGAAAAAAAACAACCTAACTGTAAAAATAATTTTCCAAAGATTATTGGAGTATGTTCTACAAGAAAATACTATTTCAGTTTCTCTACTTAAAAATTCCATGTTTAATTCAATGTTACCTGCCATTTCTTTGTAATTTTTTAAGAACTTTACTAGCACTCTTTGGATGAAAATAGTTTACACCTTTTTTTTTTTCTGTGTTAAAACTAAACAACAGAAAAAAGGGGGAAACATTCTGTTTTTCATTCAGTGACTTAGAGCAAATTCATCAGGGATGAGTCTTTATTCAACACTTTAAATGTGAAAATTAACTTTAAACTTTTCTGAAACCAGGGATAGAATAAAGCATAAATGATGGGATTAATGGTGGAGTTCAAGAAGAAAAATATTACAGCAACATTTCTGACATAAAACCTGTCAGCATTGTCATATGAACTCACTAAAGTACAAATATAATATGGCAGTAAACACAGGAGAAACACAATGACCAGAATTCCCAGCAGTATGGCAGCTTTTCGCTCTGATTTGTCACTGACTCTGTTTTTGGAGGATTGTGTTCTGTTGTGAACCTGAAGGGCTCTTATAGCAGTCGCATGTTTCTTAGCAATGACAAAAACATGAGTGTATAATACTATAATAAGTGTACAAGGCATAAGAAACACAAACAGGAGATCAATGTGGGATGAAACCCCATCTATAACAGCAATACATATTCCTGGACACGTGACATCAGCAAAGTTTCCATTAACAAAAAGAAGAGTAAAGTTATAAAAGAGTGAAAACAACCAGTTAAATAAAGTTGCTATGCAGATCACAGTGGGTGAGATCTTCTCAGAGTAAAGAAAACACACACACACACACACACACATATAAGGTTTTCCTTACCCATTAACGGTTTATAATAGTATTAAAGTAACGAATTACAGAGGGATGGGATATATCTCTATCTCAGTTTCAGTACTCTGCTATTGGAGCCTGTTGTCAAAAAAGGTAAACATGTTTTAAATGAACTGCATCTCTGCAATAATTGACGAAATATTCAATAGCTGGGTTATAGTCAAGACTCATATTTAATATAACAAAAATAATGTAGAAAAAAAACAACCTAACTGTAAAAATAATTTTCCAAAGATTATTGGAGTATGTTCTACAAGAAAATACTATTTCAGTTTCTCTACTTAAAAATTCCATGTTTAATTCAATGTTACCTGCCATTTCTTTGTAATTTTTTAAGAACTTTACTAGCACTCTTTGGATGAAAATAGTTTACACCTTTTTTTTTTTCTGTGTTAAAACTAAACAACAGAAAAAAGGGGGAAACATTCTGTTTTTCATTCAGTGACTTAGAGCAAATTCATCAGGGATGAGTCTTTATTCAACACTTTAAATGTGAAAATTAACTTTAAACTTTTCTGAAACCAGGGATAGAATAAAGCATAAATGATGGGATTAATGGTGGAGTTCAAGAAGAAAAATATTACAGCAACATTTCTGACATAAAACCTGTCAGCATTGTCATATGAACTCACTAAAGTACAAATATAATATGGCAGTAAACACAGGAGAAACACAATGACCAGAATTCCCAGCAGTATGGCAGCTTTTCGCTCTGATTTGTCACTGACTCTGTTTTTGGAGGATTGTGTTCTGTTGTGAACCTGAAGGGCTCTTATAGCAGTCGCATGTTTCTTAGCAATGACAAAAACATGAGTGTATAATATTATAATAAGTGTACAAGGCATAAGAAACACAAACAGGAGATCAATGAGGGATGAAACCCCATCTATAACAGCAATACATATTCCTGGACACGTGACATCAGCAAAGTTTCCATTAACAAAAAGAAGAGTAAAGTTATAAAAGAGTGAAAACAACCAGTTAAATAAAGTTGCTATGCAGATAACAGTGGGTGAGATCTTCTCAGAGTAAAGAAAAGGAGAACTTAAAGCCAAAAACCGATCAACTGCTATCAGAGCCGAAAATAGTTTACACCTTTTTTTTTTTCTGTGTTAAAACTAAACAACAGAAAAAAGGGGGAAACATTCTGTTTTTCATTCAGTGACTTAGAGCAAATTCATCAGGGATGAGTCTTTATTCAACACTTTAAATGTGAAAATTAACTTTAAACTTTTCTGAAACCAGGGATAGAATAAAGCATAAATGATGGGATTAATGGTGGAGTTCAAGAAGAAAAATATTACAGCAACATTTCTGACATAAAACCTGTCAGCATTGTCATATGAACTCACTAAAGTACAAATATAATATGGCAGTAAACACAGGAGAAACACAATGACCAGAATTCCCAGCAGTATGGCAGCTTTTCGCTCTGATTTGTCACTGACTCTGTTTTTGGAGGATTGTGTTCTGTTGTGAACCTGAAGGGCTCTTATAGCAGTCGCATGTTTCTTAGCAATGACAAAAACATGAGTGTATAATATTATAATAAGTGTACAAGGCATAAGAAACACAAACAGGAGATCAATGAGGGATGAAACCCCATCTATAACAGCAATACATATTCCTGGACACGTGACATCAGCAAAGTTTCCATTAACAAAAAGAAGAGTAAAGTTATAAAAGAGTGAAAACAACCAGTTAAATAAAGTTGCTATGCAGATCACAGTGGGTGAGATCTTCTCAGAGTAAAGAAAAGGAGAACTTAAAGCCAAAAAACGATCAACTGCTATCAGAGCCACAGTGTGAACAGACACGCTTGTCGCCTGAAAAGTCACAAAACTGAAAACTGAACACATCACTGATCCAGAAATCCAACATGACTCAATAAGCCAAGATAAGTGAAACGGCATCACAAAAACTCCAACCAGGAGATCGCACACAGCCAAAGAGAGGATGAGGATGTTCGCAGGTGTGTGGAGCTGCTTGAAGTGACTAACAGAGATGATGACCAGCAGGTTTCCACACACGGTCAGAAGAGACACAGCTGCTGCGGCCACATACAGAATCACATACACAGATAAAGAAACAGATCTCTCTGGACACCAATATTCCTGACAGATGTCGGTTTGGTTCATTGCTGTAAGATTCACTGTGAAGCGTATTGCTCCCTGTGACTTCCTTTATATACAAAATCTCTGAAGATATGCTAACTGTATCTCCAACAGCTCTGAATTGCTCATCATCTGAAACACAAACCTACACTGATTCCTGGAGGTTCCACAACACCAGATAAAAAGCTACAACCCATGCTGCCTTTTATAAACTTGACATGTTGACTCTTTCTAATACCAGCAGCATCAAGGGAGAAGAACATATAGTTGGGAGATCAACTGATTCTGTTCAGGTGAAGAAAAAATAACAAAAACACAGGATAGCATTTATAAGCTGACTGTGTGTCTCTGACTCTAAGTTGCATGTTAACATATTAGGTTTTAAGAGTTATTTACTAAAATCATTTTACATTGAAAATGTACACACACACACACACTGAAAACAGAAGTGAATAAAGAGAAAAGTTTCTAAACTTTAAATTAGTCTGCTTTAGGTATCCCACACTCCGCCATGGGTACAAAAATATAACTACAACAAACATTATGAAAAGAGCCATTAAAGTACAATGCAATGGCTTTTACAGTATTTATTGTTTCTTAATGATTTAAAAATGGCATGACAAAATGCAGCCTGAATCGACGTATGCACAGCCAGCAAATTAGATGTTTTGAATATGATCGTGTACTCTGGGCCCGTATAAAAATTGTTTATTTGTTTATTGTGTTTAAATGGGTTGTGAGAATGGTGTACTTTGCTTTACTCAAAGTACTTGCAGCGCATGCTCGAGAGACAGTGCGTGGGAGAGGTTATACAGAAAACCCTTCGATGGACAGCACTCCCTCATTTATTATAATCTGGATTCACCAACACTAACGAGGATATAAGAACAAATTTATGTGTCTAATCATCGGTGGAAACTTTACGGGACAACTTTTTCTGTGTAAATACAGACCTTTTTTTTTTTTTTTACACTTAGATTCCCTTTGGCTTGATTTGATTTCTCAAATATATGACTCTTGTGAGTCTGCTCTTTTAATTAATCGGTCGATATGACCCGAGTTGTCAGTTTGAATGATTTTAACAAGTGATTTTAAGAAATATTAAAGGCTCTGAATGTGTCAGAGTTTTTAAACATGATTATGTAACTTAATTACTGAAATGAACACGTTATAGACATAGATAGTACAACATTTAAACACATTTAGGCCTGGTTTCACAAGGTTTTCCTGATCATAGGTTTTGCCATTTTAGTATTAAAATAATGAATTACAGAGGGGAGACTGGAGCTATAGCTGTACACATGGGCTATATCTCAATCTCAGTATATTTTAGTAGTCTACTAGGAGCCTGTTTTTAAAAAAGGTCAACATGTGTTAACTGTATCTCTGCAATAATTGAGGAAATATTCAATAGCTGTTTTGTAGTCAAGATTCATGTTTAAGATGACAAAATAATGTATATTAACCTAGACAATATATAAAAATAAACAACAGGAAAAACAGAGAGGAAACATTGTGTCTTATTCAGTGAGTTACAGCACATTCATCAGGGAGGGGTCTTTCTTTAACACTTTAAATTTGAAAATTTATTTTAAGCTTTTTCCGAAACCAGGGATAGAATCAGGCTGGAGCAGTGGGCGTGGCCAAAGATTAGGGCGTGCTGGTTAGGGTTAGTTTCTATTGTAGCATTCCTTTTGCCACTCTCTTTACTCTGACCTGCAGCCACCCCTCTCCAAGTTTGTGAGTTTGTTAAATACACTGGTGTCTAAGGAAAGCAGCAATAATAATCAATTCAGACCTACAACAAGAGAAAAAGAACAAAAATTAAGAAACAATATAAACATGCAAGGAGAGAAAAGATTGCACAGCAGGTCAGACACAAGGTTTTTTTTTTTTTGGCGTAAATGTAATTTATTCTGAAGCAATAGTCTCATCAATGCTCTATCAGGTCTTACTTTAATCAGCATATTTGTGACATTTGCCTTAAATTGATTCTAGGACACTTTTTTAACTTTATGAAGGGCAATATTTTCCTAACTTTATAAAATATACGTGTCATAATTAATGTCAAATTCTTACATTTTATCAATACATTCAGTTAGAATAATAAGACACTGTATGGTTGTTACCATTCAAATGAAATCAGTATCAACAAACTCCATCTTTCCACTGTAGATGAAACAGGAGCTGCATCAGAAATGCCATTTAGATGCATTTACTCAGATTTTTAATGAAGAGGTTCCATAAATGTATTTAGGCCTACACAGTAAAATTGCAAATGCATAAGTACACACACACACACACACACACACACACACACACACACGCACACACTGAAAACAGAGGTGAATAAAGAGAAAAGTTTCTAAACTTTAAATTAGTCTGCTTTAGGTATCCCACACTCCGCCATGGGTACAAAAATATAACTACAACAAACATTATGAAAAGAGCCATTAACAATGCAATTACACACACACACACACACACACACACACACACACACGCACACACTGAAAACAGAGGTGAATAAAGAGAAAAGTTTCTAAACTTTAAATTAGTCTGCTTTAGGTATCCCACACTCCGCCATGGGTACAAAAATATAACTACAACAAACATTATGAAAAGAGCCATTAAAGTACAATGCAATGGCTTTTACAGTATTTATTGTTTCTTAATGATTTAAAAATGGCATGACAAAATGCAGCCTGAATCGACGTATGCACAGCCAGCAAATGAGATGTTTTGAATATGATCGTGTACTCTGGGCCCGTATAAAAATTGTTTATTTGTTTATTGTGTTTAAATGGGTTGTGAGAATGGTGTACTTTGCTTTACTCAAAGTACTTGCAGCGCATGCTCGAGAGACAGTGCGTGGGAGAGGTTATACAGAAAACCCTTCGATGGACAGCACTCCCTCATTTATTATAATCTGGATTCACCAACACTAACGAGGATATAAGAACAAATTTATGTGTCTAATCATCGGCGGAAACTTTACGGGACAACTTTTTCTGTGTAAATACAGACCTTTTTTTTTTTTTTTACACTTAGATTCCCTTTGGCTTGATTTGATTTCTCAAATATATGACTCTTGTGAGTCTGCTCTTTTAATTAATCGGTCGATATGACCCGAGTTGTCAGTTTGAATGATTTTAACAAGTGATTTTAAGAAATATTAAAGGCTCTGAATGTGTCAGAGTTTTTAAACATGATTATGTAACTTAATTACTGAAATGAACACGTTATAGACATAGATAGTACAACATTTAAACACATTTAGGCCTGGTTTCACAAGGTTTTCCTGATCATAGGTTTTGCCATTTTAGTATTAAAATAATGAATTACAGAGGGGAGACTGGAGCTATAGCTGTACACATGGGCTATATCTCAATCTCAGTATATTTTAGTAGTCTACTAGGAGCCTGTTTTTAAAAAAGGTCAACATGTGTTAACTGTATCTCTGCAATAATTGAGGAAATATTCAATAGCTGTTTTGTAGTCAAGATTCATGTTTAAGATGACAAAATAATGTATATTAACCTAGACAATATATAAAAATAAACAACAGGAAAAACAGAGAGGAAACATTGTGTCTTATTCAGTGAGTTACAGCACATTCATCAGGGAGGGGTCTTTCTTTAACACTTTAAATTTGAAAATTTATTTTAAGCTTTTTCCGAAACCAGGGATAGAATCAGGCTGGAGCAGTGGGCGTGGCCAAAGATTAGGGCGTGCTGGTTAGGGTTAGTTTCTATTGTAGCATTCCTTTTGCCACTCCCATTACTCTGACCTGCAGCCACCCCTCTCCAAGTTTGTGAGTTTGTTAAATACACTGGTGTCTAAGGAAAGCAGCAATAATAATCAATTCAGACCTACAACAAGAGAAAAAGAACAAAAATTAAGAAACAATATAAACATGCAAGGAGAGAAAAGATTGCACAGCAGGTCAGACACAAGGTTTTTTTTTTTTTGGCGTAAATGTAATTTATTCTGAAGCAATAGTCTCATCAATGCTCTATCAGGTCTTACTTTAATCAGCATATT